TTTTGATTGAAAAAGGCCCAGCGTAATCGATGCCAGAATGAAGAAAAGCACGTGATGGTGTAACCCGGGTAGAAGGCAACTGTCCCATTAATTGCTCTGATCTTTTGTTACGGTATCTACAATATGTTACACACTTCCATATGAACGACTTTATTGGCGTTCTTCCTCCTAAAATCCAAAATTCATGTTTTATATAAGCTACTGTTTCTTGCACACCATCATGGAGTGTACGTTGATGTGCATCATCGATGACGAGATGTTTAAAAGGAGAATCTCTTGGCAAAATGTAGTAATTATATGGGATGAAGCAAGAAGGATGGGTAAATTTAAATTCACGAGGATGATTAATAAATTCACTTGTACGTTTGACTTAGATTCGGAACATCTAATATATGGACGCAGTACAGTTTATTAAAACCTTTTATACCAATACGTTAGTGAACTTTACAATAGAACGTGATAATTTCGAACGAGAAAACTATGAAAGATAACAGGAATCCATTTGAAAGCAGGAGTAGAATCAAATGTATTTGTTCCATGTTTATCGGTTCGATTATATTCGGCGGTTCCTTAATTCTGTCCACGAAAGTTATGAAACGTTTTACCAGCGCATTTATGAAGCCTACTTCGTGGAATTTTATTATCCTGTCAACAATGCAAATGATATATCAAAATTATTTACTCGTTAAACACACGAATTCAGGTGAAGCGAAGTAAAATCAGAATTTATTTACGCGACGTCGATGGTTCTTTTGTAACGAAAATTCCTGGCAATCCCAGAAACAATCCAATTCTCCATTATACTTGTTCCCATAGGATTCAATAGACAGAAATAAGCCCCTCTGGCTTGTTTAATGTCTGCTGCCATGAAAATCGCGTAATTGTCCGATGTGCATACTGTTCTATACATTTCTTCCATCGAGCTTTTAATAACGTGTCGCTTCGCTACTTTTTCGTACGGGATGTCTTCGATCGATAGTAGACTTAGTAGATGTAGTGCTTTTGCCTATAAAGAAAGATTAATTGTCTCGAAGAAACTAGATGAAGATCCATTTACAGTAGAGCCTTGTTTATCCGAATCTCATGTATCGCTTCGAAACTATACTCTATTTCCCGAGTGACTAGGAGTCTTCCGCGCAGCTTGAAAGGTGGTGGGGGCCGCAGCGAACGTCTCGGACCTCCCACCATGCGTTAATCGCCGCCTCACCGACCACGGTTCATTATACACGGTAGGACAATAAAGGAGTATTCCCACAATCCGACGGGCATCCGATAAATGTCGGATGCGACAGCTCGAAAACTAGCGAAATCAGGGCTGTAGTCGGTAGGATAGAGTATATATGTATACTCTATCTATATCTATTCCCTATAGGGAAAAGCGTGTAAAACAGGCATGGCCAAGTACATGTGCCCCACTGTAGCTGTTCTCCCTACTTCGTGCAGTAGGCCCAGGAAGCCCTCACATTATTTCAGTATGTTACGTGCGTGCATCATACACACTATTAACCGTTCGGACTGCGTGCCCCACTCCGGCTCCCGGGCAAGGTCGTGTCGCACGGCGACAACTTTGGCCATGCCTGGGCTAGACCCTTTGACAAATCCTATCAAAGAACGGCGTAAGAATACATAAGAATTGTTCTTTTATTTTTACCTATTACAGTCTTTACTTTCATTATTCGTCTCCCGTGACTGGTGAAAACAACATTAATGAAGAATCCGGTAAGTCGTTGCTTTTAATTTCCTCCCGTCACTCAATCATGCCGCAGAACGAAAAGTCCGAAACGGCACGGGTGATTGGTTGTATTTTATAGTTATTGGTTGAGTATAGTGACCCTGAGTATTTATAATATTACTGTAAATGCTCAGGAAGAGTAACAATTTTCTTATTGTTGTATGATATATTCCATTTATATGTCAGCTC